ACGTGCCGGCCGCCCGGCGCCTCCCCGCGGGCCCCTCTCCTCTCAGGCGAGCGCTGAACCCGCCCGCCGGGTGGTGACAGCGGCGTTTGTCGCCCGCGCGGCCTTAGAGCAGCTTCAGGAAGGCAAAAAAAACCCCTGCCCCACGGCCGCAGCAGTCGGGTTAGCTGCGCTAACTTGGTCTGAACCGCCCTGGATTGGTCGCACCCCTGTGTTAGCTGTTCGTTGCCTGGTTTCTCTGCCCCGCGGGGTTAGCTGAAGTGAGACGGCTTTGAGAAGGGAAAAACTGGGCTTGCAAGTAAGCTGGCAGAGCAGCTTCAGGAAGGCAAAAAAAACCCCTGCCCCACGGCCGCAGCAGTCGGGTTAGCTGCGCTAACTTGGTCTGAACCGCCCTGGATTGGTCGCACCCCTGTGTTAGCTGTTCGTTGCCTGGTTTCTCTGCCCCGCGGGGTTAGCTGAAGTGAGACGGCTTTGAGAAGGGAAAAACTGGGCTTGCAAGTAAGCTGGCAGGTAATAGCGGGAGGCTTTTCAGCACCGGCGTTGGGAAAGTTGGGTGCTTCTGTACTACTTCAGGTTGTGCGCATCTAGAAGTGCTGTGAAATCACGCCCTCACTTCTAATGAGAATTTTTAATCTTTTTAGCTGAAAGAAGAGAATGCCAGTTTGAGAAGCAAGATCAATAAGCTTCAGATTTTCTCTGAAACTCAAGCAGACAAGTGCGTAAGCCGCAGTATGGGGGAAAGTAACCGTTCAAACAAGTTCTCTTAGAAGGTGCTCACTGGAAAGAGTCAGCGTCTTTAAAGAAGAAAAATGTAGTTGGAATCTGTTCTATTTATTTTTAAACCTGGTTTTAATAAACCTGGTTTTCTTATTGAAAAAAGCTTGGGGAATAAGTAGCAAGCTGATGTCTGATGAGTACAGTTGGGTGGCTTATACTTCATGAGTTTGAATGGTTAGTGTGAATGAGGGTAGGGCTTGAGAAGAAGCATTTCGTAAAGCTTCAAATTATCAAATAAATCTTTATCTCTCTTCTCTGAAGCAAGAAGAGTATTTTATTTTTTTCTGTTGAGCAGCTTGATCATGGGAGGTTTGAATTTCCTGAGGTTAAACAATCCAGTGCCTGGTCTGGGGCAGGAATTTCTTACGTTCCCATCTGAATCCTCTGCATCATGCTGCTGCTAGTAGTGAGGCAGCCAGTACTTGCCGGTAAACGTTTGATGTTTGGTGTCAGAATGCAACCGTATCTAAACCGTATCTAGACTGATTGTGAATAGACATGTTTTCTGTACAGCATTTCTGGTTTCAGCGATGTAATCCCCATTAATGCAAATGGATGTTGAACAAACAAACCCCTGGAGTCACAGTCTAGAAATTTAGTTGGGAAGACTTCGTTTTTGTGTAGTGCAGAGGAAAGAGACTTTTGATCCTTTTCTAGAATTTTCTTACCAAGGAATTTCGTGTTACACATGCTTACTGCAGATTGTCTCTTGTTTTTTAAGGGTGAGGAAACTTGAAAGAAAGCTTGAGGAAAACAAAATTAAAGAAGAAAAAGAAGCTCAAGATCTAGAAGCAATGGTGCAGCACGTGGAACAAAATCTCCAGCTGATGACTGTAGGCGTTTGCGAGCGCTGTGCTAGCAGAAACACGTTCATAGCTTGAACATTTCTGTTCCTTCTACCCCCAGTTAGTTCAGCAAGCTTAAGTGATTGGTCCAGCAATGCTAGCACTGAAAAGCTCTGACGTGGGTTCAGCTTTTTCTGTTATAACAAGACTGAATCTCAGTCTAGAAATCCATTACCTAGAATAAGGGAGATCTTTGCAAAATATCATCTTTATATTCGTCAACACCTGCAATTGCTTTTTTGCAGCCTTCTGATAACACCTCCTTTATGAACTAAGAGCTGTTTTTCCTGCTTGTTTATTTCTACCGAGTAACTTCTCCTCTTGTCCAAGAAAAATGGCAGGGGATAACAGACTCTGCAGTTATAAGTGGAAAATATCGGGGAAAAAAAAAAAGTTGGGAGAGAAGGGGTGGGTGCGCTGTCCCCATTCGATAAAGTTTTCAGAGCCAGAGGTGTTATAACACAAGTCACTTCAAGTTATATGCTGGAATTGTGCATTCCTATATTCCTTAAATTGCCTTTAACCTCAAGCACTGCTGTGGTATAAATTTTTTGTTTTTCTCTTTCAGAAACGGGCTGTTAAAGCAGAGAACAATGCTACAAAACTGAAACAGGAAAATGCATTACTTCAGGTAGGGACTAGCATTCTTAAGGCCTTTCTGAATGTATGAATGTGACTGAAAACATCTATCTTGAAATGTAGCCCCCAAAAGGGGTATTGAAAATATTTAGCCGTGCCTCACTTTTCCTAGAGAGTGCCATAGAAAAATTTATAGATTAGAGCTATTGTGTCTATGCAAACTGTAAGCTTCATCTCTGCGAGATGTGGTGTTTGTTTTGTGGTGATGTCTTGCAACTTAACATTTTACTTGTGTCACGTTATGTTCAAATGCTGCTTGATATCTAGAAACTACAAATACTTGTAGTACAGCAAGACAAATGGCTATTCAGCTATAGGAGGTTTCTCAAGAGGGGGAAGGGAAGGGAAAGAAACTTGAGAGAAATAACAGGTATCTTGGTACAGCCTGTGTAGCATTAGACAGTAATGTCTGTCAAGTGACTACTTCCTTCCCCACCATCAGACCTGGAATACTCACCCCAGCATTGAGCTGGGTGTATGAAAATAGCAGAATTCAGGGCTGCTGGATAGCAGTGTATCGTGAAAACTGTGCACATATCTTCAGTATAAATAAACGCTTCTAAGCTATAGTTCTATATCTGAGATTGCCTAGAAAGAATCTCTTCCTAGCTCTGGAGCATAATTTTGTATTAAGTGTCTATGCATTAGTTGCTGTACCTTGCTTAAGATTGTAAAGTATGTACTGGGTTTTCTTGTTGTTGTTATTGTCATGTAAAGTGTTCCATTTTGTTTTTTTTCCTTGTCAAGGTTCAACTGAAAAATTACAAGACAGAGATCGAAGCCTTGAGATCGGGCCAATCAGCTAGTCTGGCCATAATGAAACAAAATGCAGACGTTGCCTTGCAGAATCTTCTCACAGTTATAACAAGCTCTCGGTCTTCAATAAAGTAAGATGTTTTAAAAAGGCTCATCCAATTTATCCCAGATGCTTGTCTAAGTACTAATGCCAAGGCCAGTACTGAAGTTTCCCAATGATTTTCGTGGGACTGAAATTCAGGTTCTTGTGTTCTGCATGCCAGATCACTTAGTTCATGTTCTTGTTCCTTATCTGTGCGTTATTTGTTGTGCAGTTTAGATAACAGTGGAAGTCTTTTAGAAATATTGAAATGTCCTTAGGTTTTTTTTTTATTTAATGTAAAAAATGTATACTTTATGTATTTTTTTTTCCCTTCAAGAAGTCAAGTTTGCAGTCCAAATAAACTGCTGCTTGAAAGTGAAATTGTTCGGATAAACACTGTATCAAAACGGTGCCTGTGTACTTCATCCTCTCTTGGACTTTAGACTGATACTCTGTTTCTCCCAAATTGCAGGCAGCTGGTCTCTGGAGCAGAATCATTGCAGCTTGTGGCTGATCTCCTTAAATCAATAGACAGAATTTCTGAAATGCCAGATGACGGACAGTAAAACTACAAAAATGGACTCGAATGGAGAGCTATGCTTTCTTACAGAAGTCACTAGTTGAAGCCTATTTTCTCATATTCCACCTCATTATGTTGTGCAAAGGTGTTACGCACTGCTGCAGAACTGGCCCTTCCACCTCTACCAACAGTGCAGCGACAGCCAGGGGACCGCTAAGACCTCAGTGACCAAGGACTGTGTCCGTTTTTTGGCTAGACTGGGACCAGAGACCCTCCTCCCTTTGCGCACGGGTGTCCTGCCAGCACCTCGGGCATTTTGCCTGGTAGACTTCGGCTTGCCTCTTTCTTCTCACTAGAGTAAACGGACGGTGGGAGCGAAGGTGTTTCCTGCCGCGGAGGGAGGAGCGCTCTGCAGAGCGCTGCGCTGTGGGCGGCCGGGC